CGTCTTCACAAGCAAACAAAATGAGAGAGGCAGGTAGTTTCAAAATTTTTGTAAGAATATTTTTTTTTCTCAGTTTTGACATAAAGAATGCTACTTTGATTAAAAGAGTTTAGGTTTGTGTTTTAGATTTGTAGTATAAGATGACTCCCAATTTTAAAGGTGATTTTTGCGATTCAAAGGTGACTTATATGTGGAAATATACGGTACTAGAAATGTTGTTTGCAAAGATCAGACGAACAGGGTTATTTTCAGTATGAAACAAAAAATCAAATTGCTGACATCGGCAAATAATCCACTGTGAAGAAAATGTCTGGAAAGTGCCTTGATCGCTAGTTCAGCTACAATAAATTTGTGTCCAAGCTTTTATATCACTATTCTTGGCAGATTTTATATTGTTACAGTGTGGGATAATCATGGACAAAGGTGATGGAGAGAAAAGGAATACAGATGAATTTGGCTAGATTGAGAAAAAAAAAATTTAAAAAATATTCTTTGAAAAATTTTGAAATTAACTGTGTTTCTCATTTCATGAACATGTGTAAACATGGCAGCATCAACAAAGTCCAGTCTGATGAAATCCTAATGGATGAAACATGTCACACAAAACCTTTCCAATTGTCATATTTTTCTGAATACTTAGAATTAAAATGCCTTTTTTTGTACAGCTATCCTGGCTTGAAGAGAATTCATGTTTTAATAACTTAAAATGTTTGTTTTTTTATTTCATGAAAATATTTAGTCATTATGTGTTCAGGTTCAGGGATCAACTTATTTACTAAAAGTAAATGAAAATGATGATGTCACCCTTTCTGATGTCAGCAGTTTGATTCTTTGTTTCATACTGAAAATAACCTTGTTTGTCCAATCTTTGCAAACAACATTTTTAGTACTGTATATTTCCACATATAAGATGACCTTTAAATCCCCCCCTTTAAAATTGAGGGTCATTTTATACTACAATTCTAAAAAAGTCACCTAAATTCTGAGTGATGTTTGTCAGTAGGCTAACCTCTGTTTTGGTGCAATAACATACACGAAAAGATTCACATTATCAAATAAACTGCTAATAAAAGTAATAAAACCATTTCTACGTTATATATTACTGGCATACCTTCATAATAAATTGCCTATTTTAAGAATAATTCCATATCAATGAAATCAACTTGTATCTATGCAAGCTCAGCTGAGAAAATATAAACATCTAGTTATGATTGCGTTCACAGCAACCTTTCTCTTTCACTAAACATTCAATAATCATTATGCTAGTGTTAATTATGGCATTAATAACATTTAGGATAACATAATATTCATTTCTCATTAAAAAATCATTATCATTTTGGTGTTAAATAATAAAACAATTTAGGATTATTTTGTGATTGTTGATGAAGTATAAGTAAATGACATTAGTACACCAGGCTGTTTGTAACTGTTTAGATATAGGAAAAGAGGAAGAAGAATCAGTATTCACAAGAGATCACATGATGAAATGTAAACAAAACAATGGTTTCCCTTTTAAGGGACGTCTGTAGGAAAAACATGATATAGAATCGGTTTTGTTATTTTGTTTATTTTCAATTTCTAAGCATACAGTAAGTAACAACATTTCCAATAACATCATCTTTATATAATCAATAATCAGTCATCTTATACTTCAAGTATAGGATAAATTCATGAAAATTTGCTGTATTTTTTGACCTTGTCTTATCTAAAGGTCGTCTAAATAGGTGGAAATAAATATATGGTATATATTTTTTTTTATTTATAAGTTCCTGCAACCTTCATTAAACCCAGTTTTAGGATGGAACAAAAAGGTTTCAACTTTATTATTATGTCCCAAACAACTTTCTTCTATGTGGCTTGTCTCTTCAGAACATGTCCGATCATAGTTCTCCACAACTTCTTAGGCATACCCCAAGGTATACTTCTTGGATAATCTGATCTTATGTGATGCTCTATGCAGATGATAAAACTGTATATGGGTGTGCCTCTTAAAATCTAGATGACTAAAGCCTAGCAGCTGATCTATTCTCTGATCTATCTTTAACAGCTCAGTGGGGGGTTGGAGTGGGGAAACTAGTTGGTCACATTCAATGTCTCAAAAACCAAATTAGTAACATTCCATTATCACCAAACAGATTCTGAATTTTTGCCTATCATATTGAACAAGTGCTCTCTCTCTCTTTCTCAAAAAGGCCCCCCCCCCTTTTCTTAAATGCCTATTGGGACTTAAGTTTACCCCAGAACTTGTTTATAGAAATCATTGTTAAAGTTGCTGGAAAAATGGTTGATTCCTTGTACCGCTCCAGTAAGTACCTGACTCCTCTTCCTGTTATTCTTTACAAATGCCAGATCAGGCCGAAAATGGAGTATTGCTATCATATCCAGTTTTGATAGAGTTCAAAAGTGGCTTAGCTGCTTTATGGGTGGTAAATTATTATCCACCCCCTCAACCCATTTCCCCACAGACAAAACATTGCACGCCTCTTGCTACTCTTTGCTATGTTCTGATAGGTTCCATTCATTTTCACCAATTTTAACCCTCACAGCTAAAATCTGGCATGCCACATCCACAGAGATGAACCCTCCCCATTGCCATGTTATTTGTAAAAAGGAACTTCACCTTGAACAGCTAGTTCCCACAGAATGCGACTTTGTGGAACAGACTTCTGAAAATAATTAATTTATTTTTTTTTTATTTTTTATTTTATCCTGTGACCCTGTAGGTCACAGGATAAAAAAAATTAATGCTTTTCCACTTTCATAGAAACAAAATTTTTCAGTTTTCTTTGAATTTTTAACTTATTAATAAATGTATTTTTATTAATTTCTATTCTTATTTATCACTTTTAAAAATATTTTTGAAGAATTTTACATGATTTTTATGTGAACTTTGATTTTTTTACAATGATTTAAGATGTTCAAATATTTTGCAAATTATTTAGATGAATATCTCAATTTTTGTCATTTTTATCTCAATATATTGTTTGAATTGCTGTGTTACATGAATTTCTGAGATAAAGTGTTATCATTGTTTCATTAATCTTTTGTTGCTCTTTAACACCAGTCATCAGTTTGGCTAGAAAGGCTTTAATCACTTCAGATTAAAGGAAAAATATGAGGAAAATATCTATTGTTTATGTGATTGATGACTGCCAGTAAAGTCTTTGTAGCCAGATTGGTAACTGTCCTCTCATAAAAGAGACAGGTTACATGACAGTTCAAACCTTTTCAGAGGGTTAGTTTATCTGATCACTATTGCTTAATGATCATAGCATAACAATCTCAATATTGCAATAAAAAGTAATTGAAATTAAAATGAAAGAAATACTAGCTTAAAATGAATCATAACTGACAAATGTCTAACTGAAGAAATTCAAATATTTTAACATTTTTATTTGTTTTAAATACCCTGTTTCTTCAGGACAGAAAATTATGACTCTCCTCAGTTTCTTTTTCTATTATTATCTGAATTTCCATGACTTCTTCGGAGGTTTCTTATTGCCTTCTTCACAGTTTCAAATTCAGAAATGTCCTTCTTGTCATCTAAAGCTAGCAACTAAATTACTATTTGGTATAAAAAGAGAAATAAAATGAAAGAAATAGTAGCCAAAATGAATAATAATTGACAATGTCTAATCAAAGAAAGAAAAATGATTACTTTTATTCTTGTAGACTGGCTGCTACCCAAGGCTAGATACCTATTACTATTTTTCTTATAAGCAAGTAAAATAGGATAAAATATATATATTTTTTTTAAGCGTTTCATCCCAAACAAAGCAGGAAGTCACTAACACGCAAGGGGTTACAGAGAGTTGGAGCAAGAGCAAATAGGAATGATAGAGGAAAGGATGAAGAGAAGAGTAGGGGATAGATCAGGGCATCTGGAGACATCGATTGACATTTAAATAGTTGGTGATTATAGCTATCAGGAAAAGAGGAAAAGGGGAGGGAGTTCTACAGGCGAGAGGTGCAAGACATGAAGCTATTGGAGTAGAAGACGGCTACATTTAACAGTTTCAACAGTGAAAGGGTGTGAGCGAGATGCCAACCTAGCAGAACGCTTAAATTCATGAAGTCTGGGAACCAGCGAAAGCAGCTCCTTGGAGCAGTTGCTATGAAAATATTTGTAAAAAAGACAGAGGGAGGTGATGCCATGTCTGTGAGAGAGCGACTGCAGATGAGATGCCAGATCAAGGCCAATTACATTATCTTATCAAGAACCTTGAGACAAACATAAGGGGCACCAGACCATATATGGCAGCAATACTATATATATATATATATATATATTTTTAATAATGTACACCCAATACAAGGCTCGAGAGTCACTCAAGGTATAAGGTGTGAGATTTAAATGGAAATTGGGTGGTAGGAAAAACAAATTTCCACTCAAATCTGTTCTCACTGACAACTAACATGGAAACAGGAACAACGCTTCGCTCGGGAGTCTGTTTCCTGCACACCATAAACAACTGTACTATCGTTCTTTCTCTCTAACATGGGTATAACCTTCATCAGTCTCAAAGAACAAACTGGTCTAAAACAAAAAGACAGCTCTTTTTATCCTTCCTCGGTCTCTGGCAAGAAACCGAGATCTTTCACTTGTGTTAGCCTGGTTTTCACCGATAATGTATATCCCATGTCACTTCAATATTGATTTGCCAAACTTTGCCTCACATGTCTATGATATCTACAAGCACATGTACAGACAATTCACCGTCTCTTTCTTCAGCGAAGTATGTCTCCACCACAGAAGGTTACTGAATAAAGTATGATATGAATGGAAGATGAAATAAGGATAAGGGGGATAGATAATGTCTGATCCTTGACTTGAAGAGGTTAAGATTGTGATGTTCAAATATTGGTCACAAGATAATCGCAATAGGCATCTTGGAATGAAGACTTCATGGAATCATGATGGCACTGAATTTCAGATGAATTTTTGCAACTTTTATTTTTGGTTTCACTATTTTCATGCAGTTTAATTTCTTCTTTTGCAGAGATTCCTGGTGTCCGTTGTCATGGAAACAGATGTCTGGGTTTGAATGCAAAACTGAATTTGAAACTTGCCACTGATCGTGTCCTCATCCCATTGATGAACAATCCTCCAAGTTCAGCCAAGAAAGTAATTGGTCAGATACAGGCTCAACTACAGAGCCTGGAGATGACCAGTGACCAGTTGGCGGATATGTTCAATGGCTTGCTGGCTAAAGCTGGTCAGTAATGACAAAGGTGGTGGTGGTTGCTCTTGTTATCTTTTCTTGCCTACAGAACTGCCAATACTCTTTGTTGATCTCTTTGGGATGAATGGATTTTACAAGCACACAAACACTACACATTTATCAATACAAATTACACAGCCATGATACCTGTGCTTTGCTGTTTGCTATTTATGTTCTCATCATTTTGTTGGCTGGCTGTACTGATAAATAGTATATGAAAAACTTGTTGAAGGTTTAAATAATTTCCCCATCTTATAATGTTATTCTAAATTCTATGATCTGTTGTTATTCTATATGATATTAAGACCAATATACTAATCCTTGTATTTTATCTTTTTCATTGTCTTTGGCCAAGAAATTTATATTCTGTACTTGTCTTTCTTGGATGATAATCAGAACAGTTTGGTTACCAAGAGATTTAGGCATCTAGTCCATGTTGTTGTCTCTAACAATTTTTCATGTCCATCTCTGTCACTCGAGGGAAGAAAGGGATTAAATAAAGAGGATGATGATCCCAATGCTTGGATGCAAGTGGATCTTGACTGTCTCCATTTAAAAGGTGTCAGTAAAGGATGGAATGGACGGAAAATGGAATTTGCATGCCAAGTTCAAGTTCTGGGCACATCTGTTGCATTCACTTTTACAGAAATGCTCTTGGGAAAAGCATTAAATAATTTTTTCTCTCCCCAGCTATTGGTTAAAGACCAGGCTACAAAGGGTACTGTAGTATTAGAGGGTAACAAGTCTAAGAGAAGGAAAACACTGAATTCTAAGGAAGCTGTGGAGAGACATGATTGCTTATGTCCTGAAAGAACATGGTATTTACAAAAAGAAAAAAAAAATAGATTTGAGATTTTGAAATTGTATTTTTATTATGGCACAAGCTTTAATATATTTTTTCACTTTGTTGTCAAAATGTTAATCTATTCAGTCTATTAATTTAGTCATAAAACTCATTTTGTGGAGATTATTGAAGTGTCTTGTTTGTTTTATTAACAGGTTTGACAAGTTTCTTATAATTTGTTTTGACTGATTAATTTAGTGACTTAAACTGAAAGAAAAGAAAATAATTTTAGGATGTAAATTTGTATTTCATACTTTGGTGTGGAGGGGGATGTTTTGATACAACTATTACTTACTTTATTATAAGCCCATTTTAGGGTATTTCAAGGGCTAACCCATTTGGTCAGATTTTGCTTTATCACTAGCCCATTTTAGGGTCACATTTCATGATTTATCCAACATTTGGTCAGATTTCATGCTTTATCACTAGCCCATTTAGTAAGGGTCATTTCATGATTTATTAACCCATTTGGATTTCATGCTTTATCACTAGCCCATTTTAAGGGTCACATTTCATGATTTATCAACCCATTTGGTCAGATTTCATGCTTTATCACTAGCCCATTTAGTAAGGGTCACATTTCATGATTTTCGCTAACCCATTTGGTCAGATTTTATGCTTTACCAGCCCATTTAGTAAGGGTCAGATTTCATGATTTATCGCTAGCCCATTTGGTCAGATTTCATGCTTTATCACTAGCCCATTTAGTAAGGGCCCATGATTTATTTGACCATTTGTCAGATTATGCTTTATTAGCCCATTTCATACATTTCATGATTTATCGCTAACCCATTTGGTCAGATTTCATGCTTTATCACTAGCCCATTTAGTAAGGGTCACATTTCATGATTTATCGCTAACCCATTTGGTCAGATTTCATGCTTTATCACTAGCCCATTTAGTAAGGGTCACATTTCATGATTTATCGCTAACCCATTTAGTCAGATTTTTCACTTATACATTTTATCATTAACTCCATTTAGTCAGAGATTTATCGCTAGCCCCCAGATTTTGCTTTATCAGCTAACCCATTTTTCGCCACAACCCATTTTATCACTAGCCCATTTAGTAAGGGTCACATTTCATGATTTATCATTAACCCATTTAGTCAGATTTCATACTTTATCACTAGCCCATTTGCTCAGATTTTATGCTTTATCACTAGCCCATTTAGTAAGGGCCACATTTCATGATTTATTGCTAACCCATTTGGTCAGATTTCATGCTTTATCACTAGCCCATTTGGTCAGATTCCATGCTTTATCGCTAGCCCATTTGGCCAGATTTCATGCTTTATCGCTAGCCCAATTGGTCAGATTCCATGCTTTATCACTAGCCCATTTAGTAAGGTCCACTTTGGTATTAAGCAAAATTTTATTTGTAAAATTGGTTTTTATTCTTCTTATTTTTAAAATCCGATATCAGGATAGAGCGTATCTAATTTTAAAATTAGAATCTACTGATCATAATTACCAAAATACTTATCTTCTAAATTATATTTAATGTTAATTTAAAATGGCATTAGTGTTTCTGTTGGCAAGTTCTATCTGTATTGTTATCTATGTTTGCTATCTGTGCACTGCCACAAGTGTTTCATTCTTTTACTTTTTTTAAATATATTTTTTTAATTAAATACCATTGGCATACAAAGATGATGTTTTAGTATATAATATTAATGAAAGAAAGACGTGTATATGATGAACAGTGAACAATTCATAGATGTTTATCGAGACAGAAACCAAAAATATGTAGAAATGCTGTTTTTATATGTGAAAACATTGATGCTGTTGTTTCTGAGAAGTCTTTTACCAAATGAAGAATTAAATAAAATTACATTACCTTTTTATTTTTTTTAAGTAATTAAAAGATGAAATGTTTTTAACATTCTCACCCTCTTGTCAAAATGCATGGCACCCAAACGTCAGGGTCCCATTTTTCCATTCAGATTATTTTTTTATCTGAGGAAATGCAACAGAACAAATAATTAAAACACATTATAAAATAATTTTATCTCATTTGCATTTTGCTTACGAAGCAATAAATTTCATCTTTGTTTTTTTGAGAGCATCGAAATTTAAATGGTGTAGCCACTCGTATCCAAGGATACCTGTCTACTAGGGTGGATAGCTATATCCCTGTTGCAGACACCTGCACAAGCACAAATGTGCTTGTTCAACACCCACAGAGCCCACTTGTGGTTTATACTGCAACTATGCTGAGCAGACCTTAGTTACAGTTTCTGGGGGAGTGTGTGTTATCTGAGGTGATCAGTAATCTGAACAAGGCCAGCACACTCAAACTCTGGGTCACGATAACTGATGACTTCGTGATAGCACAGCTAGCGATGATCTCAAGTGTTCCATCTACCCAATTTCCCTCAGGTCAACCTGTGGTATGGTTTTCAGGCCCTTTCCAAAGGTGCTGCATGCTGGGTCCGCCTCCTCTTGCCCCATAGCATCAAGAAAACTTCTTGACAAATTGACCCTGATTCAAACCTGAGTCTTATGGTCAGAAATTGAACATTCTAACCACTCGGTCATGTGACCATTAAGAACCTCAATTGTTAAATAACCCTTTCCCTTCTCCAGTTCAAAGCAGAACCTGGCAGTCATAAAATATATTCTAGGGACAAAAAAAAAACTTTCATGTATCTTCAGATTGATGATAGCTTCTGGTTTTGATTGGTTAAATTTTCAGGAAAAATGTAAACATAAAATTCATTTTTCCATTCACAAAGAAATTTGGGGGGCTATTTAGGATTTTATGTCAAAGTTTCATAGATTTTTCAAACTCTTTTCTGAAATGGTAGTGTTCTGTTTGAAGGGATGACAAAGAAAAAAGTGAAGTACCAAGTGATGTCTAAAGGCCATTTGATACGGCAATCAACTGATGACAGGGATGAAGAATGTATCTACTGAAATCTTATGTTAAAAATAACAGAGATGAATTAAAAGAATTTAATCTGAGGATGTCAGACATACTGAATGACGTAGAGGAAAGTCTGTATTAAGTGAAATGTATAACAAATAAGATAATCATTTCAAAAATATGTATTGAGGTTCTAAGAATTTTCTGCCAGTTTTTTCATATAAACAATATCTTGCTTTCTCATAAGCTTGAAGATACAAAAAAATGAAGTTTAACAGTCAAGACTGGCATTATTAACCAGATTAAGTCTTTATTAGAAAAGAAAATACAAAGAAGGAAATAGAAAAAACTGCTTGACTGAGTAGGAAAAAATAAAGAATTGGTTGTTTCATTTGACTTTTGAATAATTTGATTTTTTTTTTGTCAGTCATATTTCTTCATTGTTTAAGTTTCCTTGAAGGTAGAATCTCTTTGGATTTAATATGATTCTGATTTGAATCTTTCTGCTGTTTGCAGTGAAGACAAAATGGCTTTGGGATTTCAAATTTTCGTTTTGATTTTTGTGTTTTTCAAATCATTTTTCCACTGAGAAGTGTACATGTATGTGTGTATATTCATGCATATTTTAATAGTTTATATGATGTGTAAGCCCTCAAGGATTTGTGTCTGTGTGTGTGTGTGTGTATATATATATATATATATATATATGTGTGTGTGTATATAAAATACACACAAAGAAATGTGCATTTAAATATATTTGTTCTTGTGAACTCAGAAACCAACAAACAGTTTTTAATCATTCTCAGAGTGTGTATAGTAAATATCTGTTTGCTCGTTTCCAAGTATGCCAGTCTGTTAGTTTAACTAGCTAATCCCTTTTGTAGACACCTGCTCTGGAATATTTTTGTTTCTTCACTATCCACACAACCAACCCATAGTTTATACTACAACTATGCAACTGACTACAGCCTTTAGTTACAGTTTCTAGGAGATAGTGCATAATCTGGTGTAATCTGTACTTGAACATGGCCAGTGTACTTAAGTACTTGAACATGACCAGTGTGCTTAAACTCTCAGTAATGATGACTTATGGCTTTGTGCTAGCATGATCATTGACAGGTTCTGAGTTCTTCCATCTATGCCCAGTTCCACTCACAATTCAAGAGTAAACTTGTGGTGTGGTTTTTCAGGCACTTTTAAATCATACCGTATGCCAGCATCATATCCCTAGGCCCTAAAAGTTTGACTAAACAACCATGGTGAGATATTCTAATCACTCACT